AAATTGGAGGATCACTTCAATCTATTCACTGTAATTTATTTATTTATTTTTTTGGTTTTGGTTTCTTTATTTTTTGTATGTTGAACCTTTTATTTTAATAAAATATATCCACTTAGATCTACTTAGTGGTATTAAAAAAAAAAAATGAAATAATTATGATTGGGCATTAATATTTCTGAGGGGGATATGACATGTCAATTATATAAAGGAGAGTGAGCTACACACATGGTTAGGAGGGGCTTAAAAGTTTTATTTAATTGTGTTTAAGGGTCTAGATGACAAAGGGGTAAGTAAAAAGGTTCAGAATACAAATTGATACAAGTATAAGGGTTCACCAGACTATTTCGCCTTTAATTAATATAGAGTTGTTCAAATTTTGATGTTCAAATAATTAGTTTCGTATCGATATAGATTTGTATATTTATTGTTTTTATGAGAAAAGTATGTTATTGTTTTTTATATCCATAAGTATTATAATAATATACTAGAATTTTATATATAATTATATATTTGATATTATATTGAATATCATATCAAATACAAAAAATTCAAAAAGTATTCGATATATACACTATCATGTTCATCTCTATTTTTCTACTAAAATTTCACTGAATAAATTATATTTTTGTAGTTGAAGAGGAATATATTAGTAAATGAGGGGAAAAGTAAATTTAAAAAAAAATAAAATTGCAGGGGGTAAGCAGTTATATGGAAGATTGAGAAGTGGCGTATTGGATAAGTAAATGGTCATATATAAAACAATATGAAAAGTATAACTATTTCCAAATATTAAAAAGTATCATTCTTTTCGATAAAATCTTTCTTTCAGTAGTAATAAGAGAAAATTATTCGAATAATAAATATCCTTTAGCAAAAAAAAATTAGTGCCTTCACTGTGACACACAAGCACAAGGAAGATTCTTTTCTTTGTCCAAACCACAAACCCCATTTGTCATCTTTACTTCTTTTGCTCTATGTTCCTCATTCCATGAAATTTCTCTCTTTCTTACTATGGTATAATAATATGGTACTAAAATTTTTGATCGAATAACTTTAATTTTTGGTTTTTAATAATATTATTTTTTTAATTATAATTTATTTATTTTATTTTTAGTCTGTTTTATTTTATTTTAAAAAAAAAAACTTTCTTTTATCACTCTAACACGAGTTGCATGTGATTATGCAACGATCACCTTGCAAGGCATTAGTAAAGATAATGAAATTTGGTCCAATGAATTTTTAACCTCCTCCAATAGGGCATTTGACCAAGTTAAATTTTGAAATTTTATGGCCAAATGTGTATTCAGGGCTATATACAAATTCAATCTTCAAATATCAATTTTCACTATGAAAACAAAGAATATTTTTTTGCAACTTCCACGATGAAACATGGCCAAACTCACTCCAAAATAATATATTGATTTTCTATTATCATAAATTTTATTATATGAAGCAGATCAAAGATAAATAATTAAGATGAAATCATATAGAAACTTCAGCCACCAACTCCTCACCCCATTTTTCTTCTCAAAGCACCAACGCCAGCCATCACTTCAGACTAAAGAAAGATATTTAAAGACAAAATAACTAACATTGATTTCTTCCTTTTATTCAAAGATCATTGTTATATTAGTATATATATATATATTGACAGAAAGACCAGTATAGACTCGAGCTCGAATAGAGAAGACAGGGAAGAGGAAGAAGAAGAAAAAAGGCAAAGGAAAGGTAAACAGAAAGCAGTGAAAATCAAGCTAAAGTTCCCAGAGAAACCCGGAAAAATCCAAGGTTGTTCCTAATATGACATAAACATGAAGCAATCCTTCATTGCACTTCATTGAGCTAGAGTTCTCAGAGCTAGAACTAGTTTTTAGTTTTATATCATCTTGCTTCAAGTTCCTTATTCCACAGTAAGGACCTAATCAACTCTCTAGATTGCTCCAGAGGCATCGTTTATAGCCAAAACAATAATAACCACCACCTGAATACAAAGGTTCAATGCAATTTCATAGCACATGCTAAAGCAAAAGCTCCTACCACAGCTTTCAAATGTTCAAAAGTATAACTTGGGTGCACTACATTGTTGGACCATTATAGCAGGACCAAATTACAAATCTGACCATGAAAGAGTTTCGACAGTTACTGAACTGAATCAGCTGCAGGGGCTGCGTGATGGTTTACAACCAAAGGAGGACGTAGAGCTTTCTGATTAGCTAGTTTCTCCTTACGTGCATTGTACATCTCTTCTGTCTCAACGACAACCAATCTTTTCACCTAAGATCAAAATGAGAGATACAAAAAATATTAATCTTCACATGGTAACGACAAGAGTTGTATAAACCAGACTAGATGAAGGCAAGAAAACTCATTAAACTAGTCCATATTGATAGCATAGCACTATTAAAACCTGCTGAATCATTCCCCTAACAGTAGGTGTGTTCCATCGCATTACAGTCCGGTTGCATTTGCCAAGACGCAATGCCTCAAGGGTACGCCTATGGAGCCTCCTAGTGCCTGGTATACCCCTTACAAGGGTTATGTATAGATTAGGGCTCCATGCGACTGGAGTACAAGCTTTAAAAGCGTTGTAAGCACTCATATCTTCTTGCTTTACCGCTTCTGCAGAAAAGAAAAGAGTAAGATTTGCAAGGATAGTTCCTAAGAAAAGGTGACAAGCATCTTAGTAGAAAGTGTAAGGTAGCTGGAAATTGGAAATGAATTAGATTTGTAGGGATGAATTCTGGAAAAGTAAAAACACAGGTAACATAATTTACAATCAACAATAGAAAAAGTGAGGCACTCAAGAGTATTAAAATTCTCCGTAGTGGGAGAAAACTGCATCATAATTAACACAAGCTAACTCATAAGTCTGAGATTGAAGTATGCAATCTGCATAGTTGAAATTCTGCCCCTCTGAGAAGAACTTCCATATGGTAGCCCTAAGAGGTCACCCCATGACTGAAAACAAATTTTAATGATGAGTCTCCTCTCCCGAACAACTTAAACCTTAAGATGGGTCAATTCATACAATTCAACATGTCATCGAAATGCTGGAATCAAGTCTCTCCACTACACAAAATCATTTCATGTACTTGACCCAACAAAAAACTCAAGTCCATACGCAAGGGAACATATTGCAAACATATTCAAATAAATAAAGTAGCCATTATTTTGATAAAGAAAAAGTATCCATTCTTTAATAGCTGATAAAAACGAGGCGATTCAAGTGATTCAACACACTCGTTATGAAAAGGGTATAGGAAACTGGAACAACTCAAAACACTACTCATTCCCGAACATGTACAACACTTAAGAAGAAAACTATGGAAACAAGAGAACTCAATGTTTTTGTGTGCCCTGGATAGAAGTAGGAGGTATGCTTACAGCAATAGACGAGAAGAAATGTGCATTCATGGTTTTCAAAAGCTGCTGTAGTTCTTAAACATGTAGTAGTCAAGCCAAATCAAGACTTTCATGTAGACTAAACTAAAATAGTTAAATAACTAAGACAAATTTGTAAAAAGATGTAGCAAGTCCCATGTAAAAAGAAGAAAAAGATAACATAATAACCAGTATTCTATACAAGAATATTAGACTTTGAAACCCACATTTTACAATAATAACCAGTATATGTAAACATAACATAATGCACCACCACTGAGTACTTCGGTGATATGAACCAATGACGGGGACCATCAAGCTTAAACCGTTGAGATTTTACTTATTAAATCATTGCAACTATTTAAGTTTTTTTTAAAATTATTTAGACATAATAAATAGCTGTCATTTTAGTCAGTTTTGAACACAACTGAAAAAATGTTCAAGAACAAGTCATTGAAAACATCATTTTCTCAACTATAGAGATAGAACAAATTTCTCCTTTTAGTTTCCCTCTCAGCCACTGTTATACATACCAATCTTAGCTTTTCATGAAACATCAATGGTGATTTCTCATATTTCCCAAAATTCTTTTACTCTGATCTCTGTGTATTACTTTGAGAAGAGTAGTTATAGGGCCATTTCTGTGACGTTAAAAAATGATAAGCATCTCCATAAATCAAAGAGAATTGCTTCCCTAGAAGCAAAGAGAATAGTCAACAGTAAGAGAGTTACGCATACCATTTAACTCTACATGAGCATATACTTGGTCACTCTTTTGAAGTTGAGTGAATTAAAATATTAAACAGCTTAAGACTTAACAAGAATTAGGGTCTTTCGAGAAAGTAAATGTATGAACCTTCCAATTGAGGGAGTTTTACCTTAGAAGCTTCAGTGACCCATCCCCCCCACCC